ACCGCGAGGAGGCTCATGGCCGCGGGCGCGCGCCGAGGCCGCGCGCGTCGAGGGCGAGGGTTCGGTCGGGCATGTCCCCACGGCGCCAAGCCCAGACCTCCGACGCATTGAAGAAGTCAAGACGGAGGTTGTTCTCGATTTTCGGCCTCTGGCGGCCCTCGCCGGGCCCCGGGACCGTCAGAGAACGACTCGGGATGGGAAGCCGATCCTGGGGAAGGGGTCGAGCCTTCGAGCCTCGAGCCTTCTGGGGACCCCGCATTGAAAAAATCACGACGTCGGATCTCAGGGAATCCCTTATTAATCGTCCCCCGGGTCCGGTTTTTTAAGATGTCTCTTTTGTAACTGGGGGTGTCCGGTCTATTAGGGCGCATTCTTTGGAGTAGAGCCTATAGGGGGGTCCGGTTTGTTAAGGCGCCCCGTCGAAAAAGGGGGTCCGGGTAATGGATTTGGAATACAGGCGGATTTTAGAAGAAGAATAAAACATTAAATATTTTGTTTTAAAAAATCAAATATAGTCAACAAATAACCGAAACATCGTCCCGGTACATTTTTGGAGCTATTTTTGAATATTCCTCCTGTAGAGGGACACGGCCGACTGAAGACGAGGAGGTGGAGGCCCATGTTGCGGCCGAGAGCGGGAGGAGCCAGGAACCGGGGCCCGCCTTCGGCGCGGCCACGGCTTGACCCAGGCAGTGGCTGCGGGCGTTTCTGATTGCACACGCTTTTCGGGCGCCGCGGTGGAGGCAAGACGTCCGCTCGCACGATCACGAAGTCGCGCATGCAGCGAGTGCAGAGGCAGAAAGCGAGGCAGCAGGGGACGATGCGAGGCAGACAGAGACCAGGCTGGCCAAATTGGGGCGACAAGGGGCCAGCGAGACCAGGGCAAGGAGGGCCAAGGCACACACACACACACACACACACACACACGCACGCACGCATGCACGCACGCACGCACGCACGCACGCACGCACGCACGCACGCACGCACACACACACGCACACACACACACACACACACCTCCTCGGTACTGTGATCCCTCCTCCCTGTCTGCCCAGGCTGGCCCACGGGGACCTCGCTGGGCACGTGCCCTGGGCCCACGGTCTCAGACGGCGCCCCCGACGTGGCGGCGGGATGGTGAGACAAGGAGCCCCCCCCCCGAGGGAGGAGAGCGGCTCAGTGGTGTCCACGAGCCAGGAGGGCTTCCAGGAGGCTCTTGGGCAGCCTGTGGCGAGGGGGCCCGGTCGCCGCAGGAGCGCGAGTGGGCAACTCGGTCGAAACTCCTGGGAGGCTCCCAGAAGCCTCCTGGGAGGCCCACGGTGGGCCGAATCGTCACGCGTTGGCAGCGCAAGTGGCCAGCCCCACGCAATCCCAACGTTCGGGAGGACTTGGGGTAGGCCCCTGAGGTGCTCTTGGGATGTTTCCTGGGACGCTCCCCGGAGGCCCCGGGAGGCACAGATTCGAAAGTCTGGGGGCACCCCGACCACTCGCACTCTGCGCCCTGGCAGACCTCACTGTCCCCTCCCACATTCACAACATCTGCTTTGACACACCCTGAGATAGAGGAAAAAAAACTATGCACATACACTGGCCAGGCCCATCCTGAGCCCAGGATCGGTGCATACGCCCTCCTACCTTGGCCAGGAAGGCATATGCACTGATCCTGGGTCAAGGATGGGCCTTGCCAGGATCGGTGCGAGTGCATACAGTCAAGACGTATATTAAGGACGCGTGGTAAGGACGCAAGACCCTTGGAGGCTGAAGTTGGGACTTTTTGGCAGCGGCGACCAGTGAAAACGGCAAAGGACGGGCCGCAGAGGCAAGGACGCAAGGGTATCCTAGATGAAGGCGCGCGTCCTTACTAGGCGCGTTGACTGTAGTTCTCTTCGCCCGATGAGATCCGTCGTCGCGAAAAAGATGCCGTAACGCCGTGAAGATCACCTCTGGAGCCCTCGACCCCATCCGACTGCGGCAGTTCTCGAGAGCCAGGCCGATCCGCGCCGGCCCCGTGGCCCGAGCCCGGGCAAAAAAAACGCTCGGCGTGCCAGAGAACTGCGCCGCCAGGATCGCGGGGAGCGGAGGAGGAGAAGGAGGAGGAGGAGGAGGGAGGGAGGGAGGGAGGGAGGCAGGGGGAGGAGGGAGGAAGGGAGGGAGGGAGGCAGGGAGGGAGGGAGGGCGCCCAGGCATCGTGCACGGGCCATGGCTGCGGATGGGCCCCCGCGTGACCCCCGCTGCGCACCTCGGGGAGCGGGTGCCAGCCTGCGAGGCGAGGGGTTCTCCACATGCGCCGCCTGGGGAACCGACCTCCTGGGACGCCAGGGGGCGGGGGGCACAATAGATTATTGGGCCCCCAGGGCGCCTGAATCCATGCCCAGCGCCTGCCGAGGTCCCCGAAGATCGATTCCAGAGGCAGTGGTGCTGGACAAATCCCCGCCTCGGATAGCTCTGCGGAGGAGCATCATCGTGAGCCTCAGCCTACGTGAAGCGGAGCACGAAGAGCCCTGAATCGATGGAGTCGCACATCGATCGAGTTCGCCAACGACCATTCGCATTCATCCTGCTGGAGAATGCGAATCGAGAGCATCACTCCTCGCGTTCTGCCCCTTCCCTCTACCTTCCGATCGCTTGCCCGATGCCACCCAGCTTCCACCCGTCCTACGCTTGTGCGTGTGTGCGTCGCCACTGCGCCACAGAGCACGACCAGAGGGAATTGCCAGAAGCTCACGCCCAGCCAGGGTCAAGCAGGGAAAGGAACGAGCGACCACAGGGGAACGCGAGACCCGCTCCCGCCCCGCCCTCTCCGGGTCGATCTGCGAAGGCCCTCGGGGTCCGCGCCTGGGCGGAAACGCCCGGCACGAAACCCAACGGAGCCGCGAGCCACGACCTTCGAGCGCAGGTGGGCACGGCTTGTGAGAACGAGGCTGCCTCTCGGTGTCTGGATTTGACGACGGGGAGAACGCCCGGCGAAGAAATCTGGTGTGCTGATCATGGTGTTTTTTCGCACGTCGCTCCTGGGAGCCTCTTGTCGGGGGCCTCTTCCGCGGTTGTCGGATCCTACCGGCGGCACCTTGAGCTGTCTCAGGGCCGAATTGGGCCGCCCAGCGCGTTCGGAGACCGCCTGGGAAGCCTCTCAAGATCGCATTGGAGCTTCTGGGGGTCGTCTTGAGCTTTCGAGGATGGCCTTGGGGGTCTCCTCGGCCGTCGTCGGTCCGTATTGGGGTGGTGCTGAAGCCATCTTGGGTCCCTCTTGGGCAGACGGGGCGCCTTGATGGCGGCCTTGTGAGGCGTCCTGGGGCTGTCACGAGGCCCCCGTCCACAGGGATGATGCGTGAGACCGACAAGGGCAAGGCAGGAGAGGAAAACAGTGTGGCCCATGCTGGTTCCCTGGTTGCCCGATGCTGAGGACGGATGGGGAAGACGAGAAACGAAGGTGCTGGCAGGCGAGGGGACGGAGGAGGTGAACAGCAGGAGCGAGGAGGGGGCGCACAGGAAGGTTGGCAGGAGAACTGGTGGGGCACTTCCTAAAGGTCTTCGGGCCACTCTTCAGAAGACTTCGCGGAGATGGAGCCTGCGTCGCGGGGTCCATGCGCTCAGCGTGGGCGTTGCGGGGCTTCCTGGGGGCGCGAGGAATGCCTCCAGTGTCTGATGGAATCATATGGGCGAGGGTCCCTGCGCATCTTGAGCTATCTCTCGTGGAGAAAGGGGGGGCGACCTCGGAGATGCTCCTCGGGGCCCTGGTGCCGGCTCGTAAACTCATTTGAAGCCGAGAGGGGCGGCGTGGGCTCTCTCCAGCTGTGGTGAGGTCCTCTCGGGCCTTGTAGGCGTCGTATTGGGGGGGCTCTTGGGGCGCTCTTGGGGCCCTGAGGGGTCGTCGGGGGTCTCGTCGGCCGTCTTCGGACCGTGTTTTGGGCCGTGCTGGGGGCGTCTCTGGCCGTCTTGGGGCTCTCTTGGGCAGTCTTGGGGCTCTCTTTTTTTGTTTGTTTTCCCCCCGACTGGGTTGAAGGGAGATTATTGCGAACCCGCCATGACGATACCCCGACGATGCTCAATCGCGACGGCGGCAAGAAGCGCCTTGGGCTCCATCTTACAGGCAGCAGGTGCATACTGATATAGTCAATTGCAGATCTCGGGCACGCTACGATTTCCATGGAAAGTGAGCTGCCAAGTAGAACCCCGCAAGGGTCTCAAACTCCCCTTCACTGCGATGTCAACGTTCTCGGCGATGGCTTGTTGGATGACACTCGTGACGTGGAACGTGCCCGCAAACGATAACGACCACTCCCCGCGGTATTGACCGATGGACCCGTCGCCCTCAAATATACCTCGAATCGCATCTGCCAACACTTTTTGGTCGGCGGGGCGAGAGCGAACCTCTTCCGCTAAAAGCTAGGCGGGCTGCGCACAGCTCTAATTAGGTAGACAGGGCACAGGCGGGCGGGGCCTCAGGCGGCCGGAGAGGGCGGGGCCCGGGGTGCAGGCGGTGCCGAAGAACTTGCACAGGAAAATCCACATCTGCCAACACGGTGTTTTCCTTCAAGAGCGGCAGATAGAATTCTGCAATTGCTGACTTGCGCGGCACGACACCTAGATGTGCCAAATCACTTGCCATTACGCGAGAGCGAGAAGCGAATTGGGTGACCGTAAAGGGCAGCCCACGAACACTGTTCTTATTAAGCGTAAGGTGGCCAACCTTATGACCCGAGCCCAAGAGCGCCTTTATCTTCTCTAGGACATCCGCATCCCTACTTTGAAGTGCGAATGATATCCGATTCGTTGGTTGGTGCACGTTCCCATCTGACAGCATCCATCCCCAAAACCATGCTGCTTCCTTGGTCCACTGCCCATGATGTGCAGCAGCACTGAGGAAAGAGTGATTCACAGGTAGAGCCCTTGCTTTAAGCGGTACCGACCAGAGAAGCATACAGACGACCTGATCAGCGCCCTGCTCTTAGTGGGAACACGTGGACGCCCACTGGATCCAGATGGGTTTGAGCCAGACGTGT